TACCCACAGCTCCCCCTGTCTCCCCCAGTGGAGCTGGAAGAACTGTAGGAGGCCCTCTGTCCTGATCAAGTGCACCCTCAGCAAGATGTTCAGAGGGGTGAAGCAATTCTGGGGCCACATAAAGGAAATCAAGACGAAGGTGGCAAGGGCAGTGAAAATGGCAGTCAGAATTGTAGCCCTACCACTAACCTTAACTTTAATTCTAACCCTAGGCCTAATCCACCCCATAACCATATTCATAAGGTTTGCAAGAAGAACAGAATGATGCTGACAATTCATATTTGTTTTCCTGCTGTGAACTGTGCTGTGATGAGGGGTTGGCATCTTATTTTTCTGCTAAGGCCATGAGAAAAATTTCTCACAGAGAGCCCGTAGTTGGAAATGAGGTTGGAATGAAGAGAGTTTTGACCTAATTAAGTAAAATTCCTGTCCTGGTTGCCAAGCTTTTCTCCCCATTTTTGGAAGGACACTGCAGTAATTCTCTGGGTTCATGTGTCAGGCCCCAGGCAGTGTCCAGAAGGAACAGGAAATAAGGATGACTTCTGTACGTGTCAGGAGACTTCAGCAGGAAAACAAGGACCCCTGTGACAGGAGAAATATTGGCAGCCCTTGAGCACAGAGAGCGTGAACGTGCACAACTTCTGGTGCACAGAAAACCCTCATTTTTATATGAAGGGGAGATGGGGAAGCATTCTTGGTTTCTCCTTTAGCCACAGGCTTCAGACCAGAAACTAACTCAAATCTCCCCAAAAAATGACCCCAAACTGCTCTTGTCCACAGACCAACTTCACATTTTCTATCCTAGCCATTCATTTATCAGATTGTGCCCCTCCCTACCTTTACAATGAGAATATGAACACAGTTCTGGTTCACAGGCAAACAGCAGCATGCCTGATTATACATTTCTAAGGGGAGCTTTCAGGAAAACCCCACAGAGTTGAAGCCAATTTTTAACAGCACCCTCAGGCAGCCAGGAACCAAAGCCTCAGAGTGGAAGTACACAAGCTGTGAATTAGAAAGTGTGAGATCCTGGATCCAAATCTCACTGAATTATTGATACGGGTCAGAACCAACTCACTGTGAGTGTATGTGTGTGCATGTGGGGAAGGGCATGCAGGAACGTGGTAAGGCCTGCACAAGAACAAGGCCACCACCTCCCCGGCTGCCCATAAAGAACAGGTAGGAGGCCCTGCACCCAGAGAATCAGGTAGAGGACAGTCAAGAGGAAGATCTGTCTGGAGGGTCTCCTGGTTGCACCCCATCTACCAGACGGATTACAATCCTCACCCCCCCCCTTTTTTTTCTTTTTTTCTTTTTGTAACCGGAGTTGGGCTGGGGGGGAGGGTGTTGTTGGGTTTTCTTTGTTTTGCTGGTCACGGTGTGCCTGTTAGAGATACGTAAAAGTGAAGCAATCTGGTAATTAACATATGAACAGCAAAGGAGAAAAGCTTGTTTGGGTATCCTAAAGACAGACTGGAAAGATAAAAAAAGGCGTTGAGGAAAAGGGGTTGGGGGACGGACGGGCGGTGGCAGGGGGAGGGTCGGCCGCGTGGTTTCTCGGCGCTGCCTCAGTGTCCGGGGAGCACAGGCGCGGGGTAGAGAAGCTGCCGCCTCGGGGCGGAGAGGGGGCCTCTCCGGCGGACACCCCGGTGCCGGCGGCTGGCGCGCCTTCAACAGGCGCCGCGGCCTCCGCAGTCCCCGCTCGGCTCTCCCCGTCAGGCGGCGGCGGCGCGCGGCCCCCGGGGCAGCGCCAGAGCCCGCCCGCTGCGGAGGCATGGCGGGCACTCTGGAAATGTCCGGTCCTCCGTGCTGGACACACGGGCCTCGCGTGCAGTCTCTGCCACCATCCCAAGTCCGCACCACGCTGCGCTCTCAGCATGTCACCGGCGCCTCGCAGCCAATGCTGCTGTGTCGATGGCACACTGGTTGCTTGCGGCTCCCCCGGCCCTCGGCCCCCCTGGGTCACAGGGGTCGGCATCGCGGCACAGTTCAATCGCCGGGCGCTCCGCGGAGCCGGCACCACTGTTCAAAACGTCTCACCCCCCACCCCCGGCAACACAGAGACAGGATTAGTCAATGGTGGAGGGGGAGTGAGCCCCCAGTGTTTTCACTCTTCACATTTTAAAGTGTATTTTGCAATTCTGTACCAATTTTGTGGTCGAAGTCCGTGCCGTTGGGCTTCCAACGGCAACACAGAAACCAATATTACACAACCTAACTAACACCTTCCAAACCCCAGCAGGGTGTAAATTGGCACACTCACAGCTCCTGCCTTTTATAGGGTGGGAGCAGAACTTGCTGGAACAAGGGGCGTAACTGGGGAGGAGCGAGGGCAGAGTATGCAAATTATGACCATATGAGGAGAAATCATAAATATGCATAACACGGCAGCAAAATTTAACCAATCAGAACACAGGAGTCACATACATAGGGAATAAGGTATAACACAGACAAAATCATACAATGCACAACAGACCCAATACGGAATTTATAATTTTCAATCTCTAACAACTAATGGATGCTTGTTTTCTTCAGCCCTGCCTAGTAATGGCCAGTCCCACTGCCAAAATGGCCTACGGATGAAAATCATAGATATCATTACTGAGAAAACTTCATCTCTTCAGGCAAGCGGCCTGAAATATTTGGATTGAAGGAAATACTTTAAAATTGGCTGACTCAGATTTGACTAGTATTAGCAAATGCGCCATTACCAGTCCTGTATTTTAATGCACAGGTTTCTCATGAAGAGGTCACCTCTTGTTCTGATGTCAGTGAAGTATTACCCTGTGGAGATGTGCCTGTTCAGATGTGTGGCATTGAAATGTACAGTTCTGCAAGCCTAAAACCTGCATAGTTACGTGGCTGGAAGGCAAGCAAAAGGCCCACAGAGTTTACCAATGAGCACAGTGACTGATGGCTGATCTTATTTCCAATTTCTAGCAGCATGATGTGGTGAAAGCCAGCAAAGCCATACTCCTGCAAACCTTAATATGCTAATATTGGTTTGGAAGATCCTTTCCTAATTAAGACTTATGTTGCTCAGCTGCTAAATACAACATTTTTATCTCTCTTTTAGTAATCCTAATCACATAAAAGTGATCAAAATTTCCTCATGACTTGGTGGTCTCTACATACAGAGACAGCTGAAAAGAAGTTCTTTGACACTGAAAGAATAATTTCTCATTCTTTGTGACAATTCAGTGTATGTACTTGAGATTTTGCAGTAAAATGCCTACTCACTTTTTATTTTCTTTCCTTTTTTTTTATTTGTTTATTTTTTCTTGAAAGGAGTATTTACCCCTGTATCTAGAATCATATTTCACCACGATCAAATAATGTTCTAATTCTCTGTTAAAGAATAATTTGCATAAAGAAGAACCTGCAACCAGTTACTTCTTTAAACAGGTATTCAGAGTCCCAAGTCTGAATTGCTCAGCCTGTGTAAAAAATTCTTACATCTGATGGTGTTGCTGTGCTGCTTAAAATTGTTTTAAACTGTCTCATTTCAGAATGCAAAATTAGTCTGCTTTTATACTAGAGGTTTTGCAAAAGTCAGCCAAAATTATTTCAGAACAACAGTATCTTATTTAGACCTACATACAAAGCAGTTTTTTAAATAGTCGATGTTGGTCCAGTGTAAACAGTGTAAGAGTTGTATCCTTATCACTCTAATGTAGACATGAAGCATCTTTTGCTTCTTGCAAACAAACAGATCCAAAGACAACATTATAACCTGGATACAAGCAAGGAGAAGTGAGTGGGGGGAAAAATCAAATGCAAAAATTAATAACTAGCATGCATATTTAATGAATTAAAAGTTGTTCAACGCAAAAAGTCATGAGAATGTCCTAAAGGTCCAACAGTCCCTCCATCTTATTTTGAGGTAATGTTACTGCAAAGTGTAGTTTAGATCTTATGCTGTGTGTTGTAATGAAAGAGAGAAGCATTACCTTGGGGGGTAATCTTGATAGAACTATCAGTTTGTGTGTTCATTATATGAGTTTATTTTAGCACATTAAAAACTGAGTCCACTGTCTAATGTCTCAGGGTAAAATCTAACAAAGAAGTGTTATGTCTTTTTAAATAGTAGTAATTTTGTCATCATGTTATAGAATATACTTAAGCAGGCAGGGATGGGTTCTTGCTGCTCAGTGAATTTTTTTCAGCTAAAACAGGTTCCAGGGAAACTTCTGGTAATGGCAGCGCTGGACCAGAAATAACTTTGTTTTTAATTGCTTCCTGAGTTAGTCTGAAACTTAAATGTCCTGTTAAGAACTTTATTTTGCTTCATATAATGCTACAAGGCTGGCAGTTTCTTATACAGTATGAGTATGGGTTGCCCTCTAGTGAAGAGAAGGGAAAAGCTTGTTTAAAAGGTGCTGTATTTGAAGAGCCACATATCAGTATGAATTGTAGCAGAAAATAAGATTAAAGCCCATAATAAACCAGTAGTAAGAGTCATGGAACATGTGCAAAGGGAAGTGCACTTAAAGCCAGGTCATTCCTGTCCTCAGAATTTTTAAGAACAATGATTTGGTAGTGATTTAATAATTTTAAATTGACTGGTGTAATGTAAAACATGTTAAGGTGCTTTACTAGGGTCTGAAATCCGTGGGCAAGTGATCCAGTTCAGAATCTTGGTGACTCCTTCAGCTGCCCCGGTGCCAATGGGTACATGCCCAAGTACAGCCCAGACCATCAGGAATACGAGTGTCTGCCTGACTCACCCTCTCTCTTGCAGATTCAGGAGTTATGTTCACATGCATTTTCAGGTCCCCGATCTCCATGTGATTCTGGAATTACTAAACTTACTTACTTTAGGACAAAGCTCAACCTGAGACACCAGCAAGAGCCTTTAGAGACCTGGAGTTTCACGCTATGTCAGCATCTGATCATGCAGATGCTTTCCCTCTAGAAAAACAGCCTGGTTCTGATGCTTTCAGCCTGTCATCTGCTCCCCTTTTCCAGGTGAGTTGTCCGCTAAGTTTGTCACAGAAATTCTTGATTCTTCCATGCTGAAAGACAACTGTGATGGAGAACAGGGTATGCAAGTGGTCACGGGCAGTGTCTTAGTCAGCAACAGACTTCAGCAATGCATTTACTTAGTTCCCTTTCCCTAACAGTGTAGAAATGGGGACAGCATTGCTTTGTGACACCGAGCTGTCCATGTGCAGCCATGCTGTTATTGTGGACACGCACACCTGGGACTGGGAGCAGCAGTCACTGGTTTAAGCTTACCATGGGAGCCTTTTTACATGTCAAAAAATAAGAAATTGGAGGTGATTTTTTTTACAACTGGGAAAAAAAAATAGTGATTGGTATGTATATGATATGAAACAAACAAAAAAAGAACACGATGCATCCTGCTTTAAGTCAGATTTATTCAAATTCCCAAAGTCTTTCTTGGGTCTCCTGAAGCAAGGTTTGTGCCTAAATTAGACTAGTGTTTTGTTAGGTAAATGCAGTAGCCTTCCCCCATTAACCCTAGAGAGAAATAAACTCTCTTGGGACATAGGCACTTGGAGATAGTTTTATCTGCTCTACTCCAGCAGTCTGCCTTAAGGAAAGATTAATCCTATTTTTTGCCGTTAACTTGACTTAGAGTTACTTCACAGCAGACTTGGATGAATTTGATACTGGGTGCTTTGCAGTTTATAGTAAATGTGCATGAGGGGTTGTTTCTGGTTGGTCGGGGTTTTATGTGTTTGGTGTTTGGTTTAAGGTGATAGCTGACTGAGAATGGTACATTCACACTACATGGTCTGATCAAAGGGAAATGCACACAGTGGCAAGAGAAGCCTCAACTACCACCACACCCTGTCCTCTGCCAAGGGAGGAGTTGGCCCCACAGCTGGGAAACGCAGCAGAAGAGCCAACTCAGATGCCCCAATCTTCACACAAGACGTTGGAGCAGGTAACAACAGGGGTACAAATATCCAGCACGTTGCATTGACCGCCCTGACCAAACTGTCCTGTGGACAGACACGGTCCCAGCCGGCATGTTGCACCACAGGACAGCGCTGGGAGGCACAGGCAGGGACTCTGGAGACAGCGTTGTCCCTCTGACTGGGGCCTTGGCAGGCCTGTCCCTTCTGATCTGCGCTGTGCTCGTAGCTCTGCTGTTGTTGAGGCAAAGGAAGGAGCCTTCTGCTGGGAATAGCACGGTGCCCACCAGCCTCTCCGGCAGCAGGGACCCTGTGAGCACACAGCACAGCAGCAGTGACAGGTCAGAAGTTTGGCCAGTTCCTGGTGCTTGTCTTTTAATATGTGACTTCACCAAAGAGCAGATTCAAATCTAGCTCTTGGATGACTCCTTTGCACCAAATAGCGGCTGGTTATTTGTAATGGGCAGCTACTTCTGACAGGGTTGGTGTACCAGGTTCATTTGAATAGAATTCATTATTCATAGAATTCAAACTCCATGAATGGGAGTTGATACTTTATCTTTTTTTTTTTTACTCCTTTTTTTTAAAAATGTTTTAAATGTGCAGATGTAAATGTGCCTTATATCCACTGTGGAAGGCTGGTGCTTGGAAGGATGTTGGTTTTGATCACATGTACAGAATTTAGCTTTCATATAACAGGTTTTGGTGGGGCAGTTGTTGTTGCCTTTTAAATAATTTTTGCTGGGGAAGAAGGAAGGTAGTAATATTAAAATGGAAGCTAAGCAGTAGATGCTAATGTTCTTTTAAATAGGCAATACCAACAGTTTTGTCTCAAATTTATAATGAAGACCTCAGCCACACGGACAAGAGACACACAGGTAAGGCTGTGTTACCTGCAAGGAGAGCTGGTATGTCACCAGTGAGAATTAGACTGTACTGTAAAGCCACACTAGAAAAATGTCAGTGTTTTAAGTGCTTTCAAACATTCTTAAAGAGTCTAGCAGTTCAGAACAAAGGTAACGACCTCCTTCCCATATTGTACAATAATCATCTATTTGTTTGCTTGACTATAGCATCAAAATACAGGCAAATACTTATAAAAGGACAGCTTTTGTTGCCAGATAGCACTGAGGAAACACCTGAATCGTCTAGAGCAAATATTTTGCTTCGTTTTTTATTTTTTGAAAGAAAATGGATTTTCTCTAAATTGGCAGGATACCACTTGAGAGACTTAAGGTTTAGTTCCTTTCACTTTCTGCATGCAGCCACTTGAGAATTGTTAGCACAAATGAAGTGCTGCTTAACTATTTAATAAGTCTTCCCCTTCTGCTTCCTCTAAAGGTTTTTAATTCAGATTAGCTTAAAACAAACGATCATGGCTTGACTAGTTTTGGGTTTTTTTGTGAAAAGGGACGCTTTTAAAACTGCAGCATTTTTGTTCAGGGTATGCTAAATGTAAGCAGTTAAACTAATTTCTTCTAGGGCTGCCAGGACAATTCAACTTATGAAGAAGTGCTGTCAACCCTGCTGCACCTGCCACAGTGACTTTTTTAAGAGTGGTTATTCAGCCTGTTCTCAGCTGGTGTCTGCAAACCAGTCACTGGCAAATGAAAACTCAGGTCCTATACCAATAAAAACTGAACTGCTGCCCAGAAAATCTACATCTGGGAATTGTCAGCAAAGTTGATTTTTCATTATTTCCCTCTGTTTATACAACACTGCTGCCTTTAGATATGTGTTCTTAAGCAGGCCAAAACTGAGCAAAGATTGCGAGCATTTGCTGTGATTTGGTTTGTTTGTTTTGTTAGTAAATTCTAAATTATGCCACATGAGATGGCATCTCAGTCAGAATGTGCAGATACAGCACCAAAAAGGGACAGTGCAGGGAACACTCGTGCATGGCACTGCTGGACTGGCTCAGGGCAGAGCCAGGGTTGCTAATTACAGCTGTGCACAGCTGGAGTCAGCACCAGTTCCTTTCACATCACACCAGTGCTGTCTCTGCATCTGCCCCAGCTGAGCGTGTGAGAGAAGCAGGTTGTGTTTCATGTACTGTCATGTTTTCTGTTCTGACTACTTCTTGTTTGCCAATACCCCCATTCTGCCATGCTTTAGGCCAGTCTAATGCAGTACAGACCTCAGCATGACTGACTGACTGACCTTTCTCCTGGAAAGAAGCAAGAAAGTGTTACAATTCTGTTCCAATCTGTATGTGTGCTGATCATTACTTGAACTTACTTTTATGCACAAATATCCTCCGTTCTCTGAAATTTGTGGAAAGGCCAGTTATTTACCTCAGGAGTAAAGCTAAGGTCAGAGCCAGAAAAGTTCCAGAAATGGAGACTGTCCATCATGATCAACAGAACTATTTAGTGGTGTTTTAGAAGCCACCACCAGTCAGTGTTCACAGCACCCTAAAAGGAAACAAACTGGGGGAATGACTAAATAAATATGTATTCAAGTGGAAACATAAATGAAAAAAAGTCACAAAAAGTCTTATTAATAAATGAAGACAATTTATTACTTCAAGTGTTAATGGTAAAAAAAATTCAGCACAGCTGTTGCATTTAGAAAAGTGAAACTACAATTAAGAAGTACTATGTTCTAGTTCAATAAACAGATGAACCCAATGTTCTTTAAAATAGTTAAGCATTATACAGTACATCTTATGAAGACCCGTAAATTAAAGAACTACTTCTTAAATTTAGAGATTAAAAAAATTCTGCATTCACAGCTTTAGCTTCTTTTTTCTTCCACGACCGTCAGGAGTACCATCCATTTTGCGCTTCTGTGCCTGCAAGGTATGGTTTTTTAATAAGTTATTGTGATGCAAAAGGGTTGTAAAGCAAGTAATGTGTTTCAAAACAAAGCAGACGATTTACACCCTGTCAGCTTTCAAATGTGATAAACTGCAAACATAATATGGTTTGCATATCTTTGCTGTTATTTTATATTCCCTCAATTCTGTAAGAGTATGATTTCATAGAGGTAAAAAGTGTATAGAAGCAAATAAGGATGTTTTAAAGTTTCCTATTTATGAAAAGGTATTTCTAAATACCCATTTAAATGTTCTGTGAACAAGTCTAAGAAACTTAATAATCCACTGTTATTAACTTTACTGATTTCTGCACATCTGCCAAGTAATTTGTTTGCCTAAGTTGTTTATACAACAGCTCTAGGCAACAATACACTGAACAGCAAATCCATGTAAGAAAATGGGTAAAGCTGGTGTTTCCTTTACAAAATAGTCCTGCATATTAGCAATACTTTGAATTTAGTCAGCAGAGAGTTGTCAAGCATATATGCTGTTTTCCCAAAACTATGTCCAGAAGCCCATTTGTATACAGATTTGTAGACGATTTAACAGATTATATAAATCAAAAGGCCAGATATACCTCTGGTGTACTTACCAGGGTAAACCTATACAGTGCACCAACACAGTGATCCAAAACATAACCAGTTTATCGGCTCTAAAGCATGTGAGCTACGATTTAGAACCTAAACTTACTTTCCTTTATTTGACATCCTCAACTGCACTAGCTTGAACACCAGTATGAACTTCAAGCAGCTTTTAACACTGCCTTTTAAGTTTTTGTTGTTGCTTTTAAATAACTTTAGGTATCACTTTTCCTAGACAATCAGAAAAGCACTTTGTCTTCACGTGAGCTTTTCCACAGAAGTGCCTTTTAAATCTTACCGAAGATGGTTTTGGTCCACGTTTCTTCTTTTCTGCCTTTTCCTTTTCTTCCAGTTCCATGTTTTCTCTTTCAATGAGAGTGATTAAAGTATTGCATCTCCTTTGTAGTTCCTACATTACAAAACATATACAATCAGTACCTCAGGTAGCCACTCAATGTAAAAATTGTATTAGAATATTAGAAATGCCGGTGAGGAGGTAAGTGTTTTGCTGTATCTTGTCAGAATAACAAAGGAATTAAATGTTTTTGGATACTTACTGGCTGGCTTCAGGAGTGGATTTGATCACAGGTGTTTGCTTTTTAAGACAATTTTGTATTTAACTCAAACTCATGTTGATTTTGGAAAACAGCACCTTAGAACTTTGAATTTCTCCTCCCGTAAGACTTTCTGGTTTATCTGCATTTGCCACCCGCGACAGTTGTTGCAAAGTTAGGAAAAGGTAATGTCTTGTTGGCATGCACATACCTCAGTATTTCAGAAGCTATTTGATTAGCCTGGGGTACAACCATTTTGTCATAGGCATTCATGAACAAAAAAGATTAATGTATATATACCATTGCAGTTCTGGACTTGAGAAACCAGTCAAATCTGAATTGCGGCGAGTTTCGGATACATTGTCTTAATTCATCATAGACATTTTCCTTATCAAATCCTAGTTTGTGAAGCATACAGATCAGAAAGCGATCTTCCTCTTCAGTGTAATTCTTCCCTTTATTAGTACCATATGATATTCTTAGTTGGTGGAAAGGGGCTTTATATCTCCCAATCTGAACAAAACAAATAAGACCATATAAAGCTAAGGAAATAGGTCAGAATTAGCATGGAAGTCTTTTGTATGAAAGCAACACATGACATGAAGACAGCACTAGAGATCATAAAAGATCCAGTTTTCTAAGTCACCACAAGTAAAGGCCTGTAGGTTCTGGACAGTCCATTTATCAAAGGTATCTAAACTGGCAAATTCTGGTTTAGACAACAGACAGCTTTGTGATCTTCCACTTAATGGCAGACTCCAGACCTATCACTACATTTGAACACAGTCAAGATCTGTCAGTATTGAGATGGCAATGATCCTTTCTAACACAAATTCTCGAGAACTGTCAGACTAAAAGTGAAAAGGTACATGAGACTGTAGCACACAGTTCAGCTGCATCCTGGTTAACTGAATCCGACACTTGTTCTTCCCTAGAAGAGAATTAATTCAAACCTGAAGTGGAGAGAAGATTCTGATGAACTGTCTTAATTTACTACAAATCTGTTCACCACCAAACCCAGGTTGGTGAAACACAGACCAGAATGGAAACATCCTCTGTTTGGTAAGTCTTCCCTTTTAACTGCTCTAAACATGTGTGTATATATACGTATATACCTCGCATTTTCAGTTACATGGGTCCAAAAGAAATCCTACTTCTTCCAAAAGCATGTAGTCACCAGGAGCTTGTTATACAGCACTACAAACTGTGTCCTATGATACAGATTACTATTACAAACAACAGGTTAGGTCATATCTAAAGTTGTCATCACATCTGTCTGCCAGGACAGCACTGCTGTGGGATGGAAAAGCTATAGGAAACAAGTGCTGAGGATTATGCACAAGAGGCAAATGTCATGCCCAGCATGTTGTCTTCATGCATCAGTAGCAGTGGCCAGATACAGAATCCTGTTTTTCTCCTCACTGGCACCAGAAAATAAAGCAAGCAAGAAACAAGCAAACTCACCTTTGTGTCGAGTGCCTTTTTTATGCTGATTCGTCTCTGAATTCTGGCTTCTCCTCTTTCAATCTGAGCCATGATCTTCTCTATGTCTTGGAGTTCGTTGCATCTTTCCCAGAACACAGCTAAGAAAAGAACAATTCATTAGTTTCTTATCATGCATATTAAAAGTTAAGAAGTTTTACCTTAAAAAAAGATGTTAGCTGCTACTTTCTTTTACCAGAGCTCACTGCTGTATAGCAACAGGCCCTTCCCTGATAAGGAACCTCTGCTTCCTGCTATCATGTGTTGCAGTATTACAAATGCTATTTTCAAGGGTTAGATATAGGAGTCCTCAGTTTAAAAGAGGTGTGATACAGGCCAGGAAGGTTTTTGTGAGCCAGTCTCCTTATCAAGAGAAAAAGAGCTTCTTCAAATGGAAACTGATGCAGCAACAGAGTTGTAGAGAGGGAAGAGGGAGGGCAACTGAGTGGCCAAAGACAAGCAAGTGCCTAAAAGACAATTAGGTGTTTAAATAAACAAGGACTCATGTTACAACACCCAATGGTCATTGTATGTTCATTCATAACGTGTGTACTGTATCCCACTCCTGAGGAGGAGGTAAAGGTTAACTACTGGTTAGCGAATACACGGCAAAGTGGAATCTCCTCAGCTAAGCACTGTTCCTCAGCATTTCCTTTTCAAAAACTATCCCACATCTAACTGGGTAGTGCTGTCTTCAGTTCCTGTTAAAGTGAAGTGGATCAGCAATAGTTTACATGTGCAGTTTAGTGTAGCCTTAATTATGCAGGGGCTAGAGATGGTAAAATCCAGACTAGCAGATCTGAAATCCATCAGTACAATTCTACCCTGAAAAATCTTAAAGAGTGGTGTAAGAAATTCCCAGAAATAAGATGTTAACATGTTCACGAGCAGTTCAAAGGAGGCAAGCAGTGTTAGATATGGACTCACAGAGCTGACTACAGAACTGAGTTACCTGAATACTCAATGACTTCCTCTGGGGTTTTTCCTTCTACTTCTCGTGCTATATTTTCAATGTCATCACGGCCCCACTTCTCATTGGCTTTGATGAACTGGTTGAAATCTCTCTTATTCCAGTTAGTGAAGCCCTG